AAGCCTAAATTAATTCACTGGACAGTGTCTTTTACATAGTAAATGCAAGTGTTGCTATTGTGAAGGCAGGAATGTAAGTGTTTTTTTTTCTTTTCGTTCTACTTTGGTAATACAGTAAAGCCTTGGATTGCGAGCAATGGTTTGCAAGTGTTCCGCAAGATGAGCAAACATTTCTAATACATTTTAACTTGGTAAATGAGCGATCTGTTGCAACACGAGTAGTTTGTTTCCGGAATGAATTATGCTCGTAAACCAAGGTATTACTGTATATGGAAAAAAAAGAAATACTTGCAATTGCATTTCTCCTTTAACATTAAGGTGACAGTATGATTTGGATATTCCCCTCTGTGGTATTTTATATTTAACTTTGGAAATAGAAACATTTTTTTTTAAACTTTATGCTCATCTTTTTTTAAAATTAGTTTCAGGTGTGCAACACAGTGCAACAGTTATACTTTTTACCCCTCAAAGTGACAACCCTACTCCCCCAATTAGAAACATTTTTTAAGGCGTGAGTGCAGTGAAGAAGCCACTGTTTCACTGCAGGTGTTTTGTAAAGGATGCTATTGTTTCTATATGTTATGGGTAATTTTTTTTTCCATTTGAATGATTAATTTTATAGATCCCTTGAAAATTTGTCTGTGGAATTCTGTTGTTAGAATGTTGGCAAATACAGATACACTTTGTTTTCAACTAAACTGAACTTGTTCTGATTAGCTTCTCACCCGATCTGAACTTCCTTATAATATTTGGCTTTATCTCTAGGTTGGGTTGGTTTGAGTTCTTTCCAGAAGTCAAACTCCTGCGATCACTCACTCCAAGCTTGCAAAGAAATATAGTTCCGTTACTAAATTTTATAAACTAATGCACATAGAAAATCCTTCACATGAACTTCATGAAATACCGTTCATGCTGTCAGTTATATAGAATAATGTGCTTCATGGCCTTCTGGCTTTGGTTTTCTTCAGCCAAGCAGTCATTAGAAGGAAGAGGACAAACTACTGTCTTCACTGTCTCTGCCTTGGCCAGGCCTGCATCACTGGATCTGAACCTGAGTAGCTCAGAGCTGAGCTTGACCTCCTGTTGTCTTCAGGCACTTTTTACTTCACAGCTTCCAGAAGGGATGCTGATTACTGAGACACAACACAGCACTTAGGCGTTGTCCCCAGGGAACGGACATCAGCCTATTCACTACAGAAGTCTTCACTTAAAAGATAGCTTTTCCTGAGAAATACTAGTTTTGGACTTAAATTTATATCACAGGTTTTAAAACTGCAGACACTTTTGTCTGAAGGAAGAGCTTTGAAAAGTCAGCACTTACCTAGACCCTCCCCAAATGGTATCATTTTCAGTTTTATATTTTTAAAAACTTATGGTTGAATAACTGGTCAAAAGATCTTTCATTGTTTAAAGTACATCTCTGTTTTTGTTCTTATCCAGTCCTATAAAAGCAAACAGTTTTATGTTTAAGATTTCCATAATATTTAAGATATATTATGAATGTAGGGTGATTTAAAAGATCTGTCGTACTACGTGTCATTAATAAGCAAGACTTCTGAACTGTTTTTCATGTAGATGAAATTGAAGTTCTAGGTTTAAAGGTGAAACCAGCACGATGATGGTGACATCACAGAAATATTATACATAGCTTATATGTTAAAATTAGAAATTATATTTCTAATATAATATCCAAATATAGCTGTGCTTTTTGTAATGTCGGAAAAATAGGGACTTTATAAATACTGATTAAAGAAATAAAAGAACTGGAAAGTTAGAAATAAGTGCTACGTCTAAAGGTGGTTGTGTAAAAGTTTATAAGCTTAGGATTTAAAAAAATATAAATTAGTGGAGACTATAAATGGAGTGGTTTTAAAGTGTCATCGATCATGGAATGTTTTAGTTCTAACTGGATGACTGCATTTGCAAAATAATATGTTGCTTGAAAGTGAATGAAAAACGATAAAAGACCAAGTGCCCAGCGGTTCTGTCTCCATGCATAGTCGCGCTGTAAACACTTACCTTTGGTTCAATTAAGAAACCTTATTATTGGGGGTTATTTAAATATTAAAATGTATTTAAAAGTTCCATAAATTAAATGAGTTAAAAACAATTCCAAACCATTTATTTCTCTTACTGCTTTTATACAGAGGCCCCCCCAAAAGTATTTTTCTTATATAAACTTGAAATTCTATAGATTACCTGTACTTAGTTACAATATGATTATTTTGCCCATTACCTTAAAGTTAGGAGAAAACCGTATCTCTTTCTGTTTTTCCTTGATGTTCTTGACTCAAATTTTATTATTCCTAAAGAATATTTTTACCAATAGTTTATTCTGTGGTATTAAGTGGTTTGTTTCAGAAAAATGAGGGTTTACAAAAGAAAGATAGATTCTCATGTTCTTGATATTTTAAAGGAAGTCTTGAATGCTATCATTAAGCACATTTCTTTCAATTTTGGAATAACTTTTAATAATCTCTCAACTGTCACTGTTTATCGATACTCATTTGCATTACCTTAAGATATACTTAAGTGAAAACTTCTATTTTCATAGTCTTTAATGGTAATTAAAATTAAGTTACTTATTTACAGGTAGGTGGAGACGCTCTTCAACATTTAACATAGCATTGAAAGAAGCAATTTAAGTTGGATTTGTTTCAGAGCTAACAATTAGAAATCAGTTGGCGCACTAGCAGCATCATTGTTATAGGGATGTATGCTAATGTGGTATGAAAGAAAGGTCCTCATTAAAATCTTGTTGCTAAACAAGTGACAGAAACCTTACAAGCAGCTTGAGGCTTCAGCCCAGTCACAGTTATTCCTGAAGAGATTTGGACAAGTGTGAAAATTTATAGACTGTGCCTTTATTGTGATCAGAACACATACATGCTACCTCGCATCAGATCCCACTAAAGACATTTCTATTTCTATTAGACAAGACAGATCTTAAAATGATGTAATGCCTAAGCATTCTGTGGTGAATTTTTCAAGTGTAAAAATATCGGGTTTGTTAAATTCAGAAAGTGGACCTTTGATAATAGCCACTGTGTTTGCGTTTTCCAGAAAAGGGGTTGGGTCAACTAGTGTATTTCATTAGGCAAATTCATGATGCTCATGATCTTTCTTCGTTATCTAAGTGTACTAGTCTGCGGTAGGCCTCTGAGGTTATGGTAAGGGTAAGATGGTACAGGGCATCAGCCCCGTTCATCACCACTGCTGTCATGCATTGCCCTTCAAGAAGCCCTTAGCCAGATGTAGCCACTTCTGGATTAACTTTATGTACATATTCCCTTTGAGTATTGCTTATTTTTGTCTTAATTAATTGTCGTAGTTTTTATTTGGGATTGCATTCCTTGCTTCTAGAAAGGTAGATTTTAATATGCTATAAATAGAATACTTAACATGTAAGAATGCTCATACATTCCAGAGTGAAAGTTTTTGATAACCAGTGGCCACCCCTCAGGATCTCTTGATAATGAGATGATTATAAGTCTGCTTTGCCTTTTTGAGCTGTAGGGAGTCCTTAGTCCAAGGACATCCACCCAAGAAATTCCCCTGGTCTGATTTGGCCCATATGTCCAGCTCATCTGTACAGAGAAGAACAAGAATAGGATCTCAGGGATCAGAGAGCAAATGGTGGGGCTGCTGAGACTAGTGAACGGGAGCTAAAGGCAGCTAATCCCATGTGTCCCTGGAGTGAAGGATTACATGTCACTTGTAATAGAAAGTGATCACACATGTTATTTGAATTATAGTCATTTCCTGCATCTATTGTTTTTGTTCCTGTTCTACCACTTACCCTTCAAAGTATGTTGTGGGGCTGCAGGTAGACACAGATATCTATGCTGCAGGGACCTCGTCCCAGCAAAGCCCCTCTCATGAGCTCTTTATGTATTTTAACAAAGCTCAGTCATTTCCAGTTTGCTTGTGCTTCAAACATATTTTTGTTACATATTATGTATCTTCCTGGAGACTCCTGAAATGACCGCTTGCTTTAAAATAATCGTGAATTTTATTCCTTAGTAACTGGAAGGGTAACACATTACTCAAGAAAAGGGAAATCATGATAGTTTTGTATTAAAGGAGTTACGAAAGATACTCAGAAAATGTTATTTTTTTTTGCCTGTTGTTTCTTTGTGAGAATACTATCATAATTTAAGATCCGATGTGGAAATGGTGTGTTACTTACAGCAGATTGGAAGTGGCAAAGCCTGGAACTAGAGCAGCCAGTGGTCAGGAAAGGACCAAGGTAGCTCAGGAGAGTAGCTGTAAAAGGTAGGGAGCAAAGGACACACTGTCCTGTGGAAAGAGTAAGGGAGGAATGAGTGACCCCAAACAAACATGAACCAGATCAGCAAGTGGCCCGGCTGTGGGTAGATTATAGCTCCAGGCTTTTCTGGGCTGTGGTCCCGAGAATGCAGGCTACCAGGGGGGCCAGACAGTTTAAAAGGCAAACTACCAGAATGGAAATTTTACAGAAAGCCATTTTCTGTAAAATTTGAATTCTCTGGAGCATCTAAGAGTTGACTTGGGAATGGAGTGGGAGCCCTGTTATCAGAAGTTAAGGCACCGTCGTGGCGAGACTGACTTAAAGAAAGGGGGTGCCTTGATGCCATCAAGGAGGCATGCAGAGACACCAAATGCTCCTGCCTGGAAACAGCTCCCCTTTTATTCTTCTTACTCATTTCTTCTAGAATATACTCTTTTTCTCTATTAGAAATCCCATTTATTCTCTACATCCCATCTGTCTCCATGAAGCCTCCTGGCTGTATCTCAGAGGTCCTTTCTTCCTCTTGTCAAATCTCTTTCTTTATCTCTACAAAGTAAATAACACTCTCTTATTCTGCCTTTTCTTCATGTATATGTCTTTGGTGGAGCATATGCTGTGCGCCAAGCATGATCTAGGTAATAGATGTTAAAAATGAATATTTTAGAACTGTCAGAAATTGTATTGATGTAATTATAAGTCATTTTTTTTCTATCCATATTTTGTATTTCAGATTTTACCAAATGTTGCAAGGACTCTGGGATCCTTATGGTAGTGAAATGCCGGAAAGAAAATTCTGCATTGAAAGAATGTCTAACAGCTTAGTAAGTAGCTACCTCAGTGTTTACGCTTCTGCATGTATGTGTGTGTAATAAACGTATTAGGTGACAGTATGTTATTTAACTCATTCAGTGTAATGTATTCTGTACTTTCCCCCACCAAATCTGTTTATGGATTTAGCTGAGTCTGAACTTTCAATTTGTTAAAGATTATTCTTAAAAAAGCAACATAACATGTTTATGAAAGAGCTTTTCAAGTTATGTGGGCCAGCATTGTATCTCATTAAAAATATGAGGTCAGCAAACAAAAATATGTAATTTTTCATGTGATTTCGCCAATTCCTTGTATGAACAGGTTGATCTATAGACTATACTGGGGGCACCAAAAAAATGTATACACATGACTTGTATTCATCTTTTGTTATCGGTGTATATTGAGTATTACAATTTTAATAGTTTTTTCCTTTCTTAAAATGTGTATGCATTTTTTTGGCACCCTCTGTATTATCAGTAGGTTTATATTTATATCTTCTAAAGAAAAGGAATTAGACTATCTCTTAAGACCTTTGATTTTTTTTTTGAATCAGTATAATTTAACTCCTAGGAAACCTGCAATAAATCAAAGGAAGGACACAAAGGTAAATTTAGATTTTGAAGTTGGTTAAATTAAAATTTTAAATCTGAAATAGCATGTTCACTGATACTTGGTTGTAGTTCATGGCTCTTAAAGTAAAAATATGCAAAGTTCTTTGAATGTTGGTGCTTTCTGTTGTATCTCCCCACCTGTTTTCTACCCACGTTACTGACAGGCAGTATGCAGAACACTTTCGTAAATGTTGTTAGCTGATGGTTGTCACTGAGATCTTACTTTTGGTCAGCCTTCTTCCTTCTGTAATCCGCTACCCTAGCCTGGGAGGCATATATGTCAGCATGGTTTGATACTTCTCAGGGAATTAGGTAAGAAGGAGTGATTATCTGAATCTGACATTTGTTTCCTTTTTTTGATAACAATGTACACATAAATTTATAGACTTCTTTAGAAGGCTGTAGTTGGATGACTTTAGAGATTATTTAAACTAACCTCTACATGAGGACGGAGATGAGAAAGCACACTCTAAGTCCACATGGTTTTTTCCCAAGTTGATAATAAATAATAATAATTCTGACAACAGCCCTTATGTATGGGCCACAGTGCTAGGCGTTTCACCATAAAGGAGGAAGAGTTCGTTCTGTGAATTACCGTCTTTCCAGTTCTGGTCCTTGGTGCTACCAAGAGATGTTTAATGAATAAAGGAGCCTCTTCAACTTCTGTGACTGAATTTGTTAAATGCCCTGTAATATATTAAGAATTTTTATACCTCTGTTTCAGTCATCATAGTAACTTAAGTTATCCTTATTTGAGATACTACCCCTCCTTGGGACAGGGTAGGACTAGAGCAGAGTTGAAAGGAGCATGGGCTGCGCAAAGGGCAGCCTAAGCCTAACTCTAGATGAGCCAGGGTGTCGCCAGCCATGCAGCCTTGGGCAGGTTCCTCCCTATAAGATGCGATGATTATTCCTCATGGAGTGATTGTGAGGTACTCTATGTAAACACATCACCACAGTGCTGGCACATAGTAGGTATTCAGTAAATGTTAGCACTTTATTGCATTTGTTATTTGTTAGCTTTTGTTGTCTAAGTGTTAATCATTTGAATGCCCTTCCACCTCTCACCCCTAGAAATAGGAGAGGATAACAGTTTGTAGTTCATTCTGTGGGAGGGGCCAAGAAGGGTGGGGGGAAGGTCTACTTCTGTGTTTAGAGGAGAGAGAAGCAGTGAAGGAAACAGAGGGATGTGGCATTTGCTCAAAGTGAATGGAGGGTTAGGAAGGAAGCACTTTATTTGACCTTAAGTCTTAGCATACTCATACTCCAAGAAATAGTATTTTTTCATCTTTGATTAAGAAAGTGCTCTGCTTTATTTACTGTTGACGTTCTGTAACATGAATGTAACCACCATGCTGTCTCATCTCTTCAGAGTGGCATCTTGAAACGTTGATGGTTTGTGCGCTTTTGTTTCTACATATCTTCATTCATTCAATAAGCTGCACCATGTCTTCTGTCCTCACTCCACTGAACTGCTCTTCCTAAGAGTCCTAGTGGGTCCCGGGAGCCAAATCGAGCATCGTTGCAGGCCTTTCTCTCCCTTGACCTGTCTCTCTCTGGAAGTCCCTTCAAGTTCCCTGCTATCTGGTTTCCCTTATAACGCGCTTTCCTGTTTCCCCAACGTGTCTTCCTGCTTCTCAGCCTTTTCTTCCTTAACCGAGTCCTTAAAATTGGGTCTCTGGTTCTCTTCTCATTCTGAAGTCTGAGAAAGCTCAGTTTGCGCCCATAGACTCGGTTGCTTCCTATAGGTCATGACGTTTTCCTGCTTCTTTCTTCAGGCCCCAACCTGAACTCAGCTTTTACTCTTCCTGCATCACGTTTCTTTGTGAATTAGACCATCGTCTAGAATCTTCTTGTCTCCTAACTCGAATTGGTTGTTTCCTGTTGACTTCATTTCCTAAATCTTCCTCAGATCCATTTCATCCTTTTCCTCACAACTGCTTCTCCTTTGGTCTAGGCGCTCGTCGTTGCTTTTCTGGATTATTAGAATTGTTTGTTTATTGGAAACCCTGCCTTTAACCTTTTTGCCCCCTTTTAGCCTACCTGCCGTACGCTGCCAGATTCATCTAAGACAAAAAACTGATGATGCAGTGGCTCTGCTAACAGTGCCCCCTCTATCTTCCGGGTAGATTTTCACTTCTTCGTGTGGCTGAAACGGACCATCACGATTCGGTTCTTGCCCACTCCAGCTTCACCTCAGGCCTTTCTCCTCTGTGCACAGTCAGCGACAGCGGCACCCGTTACTCGGCAGCTGTTGGTGCGTCCTGTGTGCCTTCTTACAGGGACTTCTGTAGGTCCTCCCAAGTGCACCTCAGGCATTTCCCTGTGACATCTACCCTTTTCCGTCTTCCATGTTTCCACGGTGCACTGGGCCATACCTGACCAGCACTTGGTCTGCTTCACTGTAGTGCCGTCTTTACTTGTCTGCTCTTTGAAGGTAGGCACTGTGCTTCTCATTGTTCTGCCCTGGGGTGGCGCTACTCAAAAAAGATCCATTAGGTCTTTTTATTTTTTCCTTTCTTCTGCTAGTTTGGTAGTCTAATGTTTGCGATGAACTTGTGACCATTACTAAAAACCAACTTCTAAAGATGGTACCTGATGAACTGGATGTCTGAATGTTATTAAAGTAAGCTTATGTTAACCACTTGCAAAGCGATTTGCTTTAAAAGATTTCCATTTCTTTCTTGTAGCTATAATGATCCTGCCTTTTATGAGGAATGCAAAATGGAATACCTGAAGGAAAGGGAAGAATTCAGAAAAACTGGAATTCCTACCAAGAAAAGGCTACAAAAGCTTCCAACAAGCATGTAGGCACATATTCAACTGACAGATACTCAGTGATTCTTTTCATGGAAATCACAATTACTTAAAATGATGGACTCAAGGAAATTTGTTTGCTTTCTCCTAAATTATGGAAATATTATCTGAAATAAAGATTTTTTAAAAAAATTTTAAAGTTTATTAAATGGGATAGGAATAAATAGTGAAGTGGGACATGGTTTGCTGGGTCATTATGGATTTTTTATAAATTTTTCCACAGCTATAGTTCTGTAACAGTGATACTGATTTTTAGGGTTCTGTATAGGTCTTCTATTACTCTCTATCCATGTATAGACTAACAGCTAACCATGGGTCCAGAAGTAACTAAAGGAAAGCAGGAATGAACATCCTTCAGGGGAGTTAATTAATAACTAGTCACTACAGAAGGATGGTTATGAACCAGAACCATTCTTGGTTTTCCACTTACTGGCTATGCAACTGTGGAAATAAATCTTAGTTACTGTGAGGATTAACTGAGTATTGTAGGTAAATAGAGTATGCAGGGCAGTTCCTCAGATACAGTAAATGCTCTTTAATGGTTATTGTTATTAGTACTGAAGGCTTATTTGGAAATATGAGGTCTGACAGTTGTTCGCCAACTTGTTGCAACAATGTTGCTAACCTTTTTTTGGTATCAGAGGGATTATTCATTATGAATTTATACCAACTGGATAAACAGTTAACCAAGTTTACTATTTGGAAGTGTTGAAAAGGCTGCCTGAAAAAGTTAGACCTGAACTTTTCGCCAACAATTCATGGCTCTTGCATCACGACAATGCACCAGCTCACATGGCACTGTCTGTGAGGGAGTTTTAGCCAGTAAACAAATAACTGTATTGGAACATTCTCCCTACTCAGTAGCCTGAACTGGCCCCCAATGACTTCTTTCTTGACCTGAAGAGAAAGGAAATATTGAAAGGAAGACATTTTGATGACATTCAGGACATCAAGGGTAATACGACGACAGCTCTGATGGCCATTCCAGAAAAAGAGCTCTGAAATTGTTTTGAAGGGTGGACTAGGTGCTGGAATCAGTGCATAGCTTCCTAAGTGGAGACTTCAAAGGTGACCATGGTGATGTTCAGCAATAAGGTAGGTAGCCCTTTTTCTAGGATGAGTTCGCAAACTTAATTGTCTGACCTCGTATAGAGGGTAGATAAGTCATTAAAAGTGAATTAATTTTGCTTAACATCTGAGGAAAAATATCCTAAAATGTATTTTTACGTGCCTTGACCTGTTAATTTGGCTACTGAAAATCTTTTTTAAAGTGTTTTTTATAAGCATGAATGACCATGTTGTAACATAATAATAGTTTCAGGAAGCGAATTTAAAAAAATCCTGTCATAATGCAAAAATTTGGTCCCAGGCTGAGCTTTTATATTAAAAGTTGCTCTTCGCCTCCCCCATCCCCGCCCCATGAACTATTAACTCTTCAGCAGAGCCATTCTGACCACTTTCTAAGTAAGTAAATTTATATATGTTTACATAGTTCTCATTAAAATCACAAATTGAAATTACTACCTAGTAGGACAGTGTTTAACTTTGGCCCCAATCCATCAAATAGATCTGAGAAACTTTTTTAAAGGACTTAGTTAACACAAATAGCAAACAGGACCCTAAAAAACCAATGGCATGTTCAAGTTCCACACTTTTCTGAGTGAGCCACTCAAACTATTTACTATTATTTGAAACCCAAATAAACCACATTGTCCCAGGCCACAGATCAGAACGAGGGCGATTACCAGCAGAGCAGTCAAAAGCAAAGCAAACACAGAAGCCTAGATAGAGGCTGTGGAGCATGGGGCAAACAAGCCTGTATGCCTGTTACTAGCCTTTTGGTATTGGTACATTTACTAGGGCACAGGACCTCAGATTTTGTTTTTAATGACTCAGATGGAAAGGGGAAACATTTACTTTAAAAGGCAAGTGAAATATAGTCTGTGGCTATTTTATAATTTTGATTAGAATCAGAGGGGCCAATTTCCACTTCATGTGGAAAATGTATTTATGTAGATGTCCCTTTCCCCATAGGTGCTAGACATATAGTACACGTTCATCCTTTATTATGTCAAAAACTAAACTATCAATCATAACTTTCAGAATATTCTTGCCTATCTACAGTCAACACTTTTTCTTCAGCTGGTACATCTGCCTGTCGTCTTGCTGGCTCATTCACGCCTCTGGTATTATTTTGTTAAGTGATAATCCATAGATTTCCTACCCTGGAAGATCTACCTGCTCCAAGTAGCCTTTCTGGGTAAGATCAAATTGTTTTCACATGATTCAGTCCTTTAGTTGTTTTTTTTTTTTAAGTGTGAGTTTCCCCCAATTTTGGTTTTCTAATGTTTCACATAGCTATGTCCCTGCTCTAATGAATTAAGTCCTATTTTGGCAGAACCTGTTTCCTTTTAGAGATGTAAATTTTAATTTCGCTAATAGGGGATCAAGAGGAACAAATAAGTGGTGTTTTTTGTTGTTAGCTATGTTCTCTTCATTTGTTAAATTATGTGCTGAATTGGATTATAGAAATCTAAAGATTAAAGAAATTTTCAAGGGAATCCCTTTGGAGCAAGTATTATAAGCTACAGATGGGCTGTTCTCATTTCTCTTTCAGTCTTACCTAGAACAGAGATGGTAAAGTGTGCATTTAAAAATATGCCTGGGTAAAAACAATTTCTGGTTAATCTTTCTTCAAGTCTTACACATCATTTATTTAGCACTTGAAACTGCCAAGAATATCAACCACTGACTTTCTAGCCGGTTCGATAGCTGCCCTATTGTTAAGATGAAAAAGCATTTTCTCCACTCAAAAGAAGTTGGTTTAACATGACAAATATCTATTATATGAATCAAATTAACAACTAACAATTAGTACTTGACCTTGGAATATATAGGTGAGGAGAAACTTTCACATCTACTTCAATTTCAAACAAAAATAATTTATTTTAATTAAACAATTTCTTGGCATTTTTCAAAACATTAATCAAGCCATTATTTCATATGACCTATTTTCTTTGCAAAGTAAAATTTCCAATCTTGGTTTTAAAAAAGGCAAACCAGTAAGCTACATTAGCGATTAGATACAGTATACAACCTATGCAGCCACATGAGAAATAGTCTCTGTTGCTTTGATATTACACAGGTAGTTGCTTCCTTCAGCTAAAGCCTGGAGTCTCATATTTGTTTTATGCATATTGTGTTTTGTTCTATTACTTGGCAGGAGATTCTACTCCCTTGAGTCAGCTGTGTTCATTGGTCAGAATAAATTCCAGCATCTGACACCAATTCCATTAATCACAGACAAGCTTGAATAAGTGAGTAAGATAATAGAAAGACAAAAATATCTAGTGAACAGTGAACACTGTTTATGTATGCTATTCATTAATATAAGAGATCTGAGATATTCTTTCGAGTTCAAGATATTTGAAACTGTCTATCAAAAAGGATAAAGGCCTCCTACATGAAACACTTTTAGGCAAAGGATGTATGAATCAAATAACACATTATATTACTAATGTTCTTAATACCGTAACCCTGAAAGAATTTAGATAAGTTTCCATGTGAAGCCATTCCTATTATTTGCTTACCTGCTTATAAATGAATGGCCACTTAGAATCAAAAGTTTGGGAACATTTCATGATTGTACTATATCAGTACAGCACAGAATTTGGTTTCCAGAATTAAAATTCCTAATTCAGTTAATTAAAATTCACTCAATGAGTAAAGTTGAACAATTTATAAGCTGCTCTATGTAACACGCAGGCATAGACCCTTTGAAGAAAATGACTTTAGACAGTTACACACGCATTTAGATCTTCATTATGGACCACCGAAGGGACAGATTAGACTAAAACCTTTGTGATGCCCTTTCTACTTCTAATTGGATGTAGTATAGGATTTTAATAGTTTATTCACACACCACGCAGATTTTCAACTATTTTATCACTTTTCAATTAGGACTTGAGGGATGTAATGGGACAAACTTGGCTTCGGTGATCAGGTTACTTCAAATCTTAAAATTCAAACTGCAAATTTTATCAACACTGTGATTAAAAAATGATTTTAAATCTTAAACTCTGAAATACAATAGCATATAGAGATGAACTAACCTACATACTATTATATTTTTCCTATCTTTAAGCACTAGTTCAACAGAATATAACCTATAACATTGCCACATGCTCCTTTATGCAACTTAAAGCAACTTCTATGATTTTCCTCTGATATTAATGGCTTCCTCTACTTTTAATGAATAGCTATTTAGGCATTTCACATGCTTTGTAAACTGTGTCTAAAAACTTTCAATTCTATTCTTTATGTGAGAGGCAGAAATTGACCATTATCATCATCAAAGGTAGAATTGTCTTTTTGAAACACCTTAAGTTTATTAATTAATTTATTAGTAGCATATATCTGATTCTTAGCCAGACTGTGAGGCTGGAGGGTTCCTCTTTCATACTGGAAAATCAACTATAGGATATGGTACAGTATGTGCAAATGTGTATGCTGAAGAATTCTGCAAAAGTTTGATCAAAACACACTTTCAGTTAAATAGTTTCTCAAAAGAATCATAGGAAATGCAGCAACCTCATGACCAAATCATGACTGTCTTCAGAATTAATTCTTATAAAGGCAGTTTTGATTATGTTGATCCAGGTAATGCAGTGGTGGCAGGTTGGGTAAAGGCAAAGTTTTATTTTTCGCTTCCCCAAATGCTGCCTCACTTGATTTAGGAGGGCTTGGGAATACCCAAGAAGTATCTTCTGGGGAATTTCTTCCATAAGAGTTGTGTTCCTGAAAGTTTGTACCATCATGAGGAAGGGGTCGCTTGTTATCCGTCCACGATTGGAGAATTGCTTTCTCTTGTAGAACCTTTGTATCTCCGGGGGAAGGGGAAGATGTGGTATGACACGGAGTTTTGCCATCTGGTGACAGAGGGGAATGTCTTGTGTATGTTGCAGTAAAATTCATCAAGTGCAATTTTGTGCTGTCTTTCCCAGGCTCTTCCATGCATCCTACTGGGGTGCAGGCTAAAAAGAAAGCACAGGCCAAATGTCAGTTGTCATGGCATCTGTGGTCATAAAATATGTAACACTTCATTAAGTTGGCTGAATTTATAACTGGCAATAAAATTAACATTTCCAAGTTAGTGTGATCAGTGGGGCACTGTGACTTGAAGATAGAAGACAAATGATCTGAGTTCTAATCCTGGCTCAGCAGTTTACTGCCATTGTGACTTTAGGTTAAGTCACTTCACTGCAGGCTGCAGGCGTTACTTCTCTCACATGCAAATGGACACAGCATAGTAATCCTTTCCCGACTGTATCACTGAACTATTAAAGATGGGGAGTTTAATATTTTAAAAAGTTGGAAACCAGTCAAGTTAAAAAACAATAAACATCCTGTTCTTGACTCTTAACGTAGCTAGAGAAGGTTTGCAGGCTATTTACTTCAGTGGAGACTGTTTTTAAGTTTTAGTAATTTCTTTGTTAAATGTAATTTCTATTCCTTTACTTATAGTCAAATATTTTTTCAAAAGGTAGTACAAAAGTAAATTTTTTCAGAAATAATTATATTGAATTGGTGAGACCCAAATAATACATATTCAAAGGCTTTTATAAGTTTAAATGAAAGCTATAAAATAATCCTGTTTCTTATAAAACACATAATGGTGAATGTCAATTCTGATATAGTCACAGTATAGGTCAAGTAAAAAAAAACAGCAAAACAAAAAATGTCTTTAGTGCACAGGTAAAGGCTCAAAAGACAAAATGTGCTGAAGCTATTTAGCCACAGCCAACCCAGTGGTCGTGTTTGAGCCTTTCCTCCCCCTCCAGTGCAGCCAGGGCAGAATTAAATTTAACGTTAAGTCCAAGAAGGATGCCAGTGGCAAGTGGGGCTTGACTGTGTACAATAGTTTTGGGAGAAATTGAGCCACATTATAAAAGCAGCCTTTTTTCTTGGGAGGAGGGAGACGAGTTTGGGAGAATTGGAAGTAACAGTGCTCAGCTTCTGGACAAGTGTTATGTAGGTCAGGAGAAAAGGTGCTCTAGTCTCCTCTGTCTGCTCCTCAGAACACTGAGTTTTGTGGTGAGGAGTGGTGGCCTCGAGCCTGCCACTGTCATAGGAAATGTGCTAGAAAACTTATGGTTCAAAGCACTAAAAGATTTATCACTCACCAGATCAGAAGGGACACAAGATGAGCCATTTCTAAATGTGGAAAGAACATTTCTCCTTTATTATTTGGGAGTTATATTTATTATAAAAAACAAAGAGCCACACTGAAAACTCACTGCAAAATTACTGTGGTTCCCTTTTAAGAGAAGTCATTTCTACCATCAGCTTATAGGTGCCATATATGTAACCCTGGCCACTGGAAAACTCAAAGACAAAATGAAGCATAAATTAAGTGAGGGCCTGCCATAGCACCATATTATCTTGCCTGATTCATAAGTAACTAACTCTCTAGAAACTGAAAGGAATTCTGAATTTAGTTTTCCTTCCCAATGTGCAACGTTTTTCCCCACCAGTGTACACTCTTGAGGAGAACTATTAATAAAATACAATTCTCTTGTGCCCTCTTTAGGGACAATCTGAGGTGCAAATAACAATTTTAAATTGGGTGGTGATTTTCTTTTTTATAAAAAGTCACATCTCATTACTTTAAAAAGTAAATTTTAGGGCATTTAAATTTATGTTACACAGCTTTTCAGAAATACAACTGTTATGTAATGAGGGGTAAAATGCACTGATTTTTCTCTGAGGTATAAAAATAGCTTTGGCAAAGTAACCACTACTAGTAAATACAAAACTCAGAAAGTTTAGTCAACCAAGCAGTTAAATATGAAAGGCAAAGCAATGAAAATTTTTGTTTGGTTCAAAGGGATAAGAGAACACCAAATCTCTCTTCTAAACAACCTATCCTTTATGGAAAGAAAAATTAAGTTAAAAAAAACCACAATGAAAACAACCAAATAATGAATCAAAGCGACTTTTTTCAAAACAATTTAAAGAGCTAGATCTTTGGTGTATTCTGTAATGAAAAATAGCTTTTGCTGTCTTGGTGTCTTTTTTTTTTTTTTTTAAATATATGAAGTAGTTGTGGTAAAAGGTCAACTAGAGCAAACTTAACACCTCAGCCTTATACACATAAGCAACACTTGGCTGAGAAAAAAGCCACAAGGGGAAAAGAATACAGTACTGAAGAAAAAACACATCAGCAACACCTTTATGTGTGAAGTTGACCAGTATGAGGCTGAAGCCAAAGCAGAGAATGGGGAGGCTGTGAACATACTATGTATACTTTGGCTTATCAAACTCAATTGATGAGATTTTGATAAGATAGGATAGCTAGTTGCTCTTCAAGCACTTTGGCTGGAATCAGTGGTTTCCCCGCAAACATTGACTCGCCTTTCTTGATTGCAGTGGAGTTTTTCAGTTTTCTTAGTAGTTCAGCTTGTACTTGAGTCACCAGATGTAAATTGGACATTTCTCTCTTCAGTTCCCAGTATGCATTCTGCATATTATCACTGAAACACAGGGTTTTTAAAAAAAGCTAATGGTTATTATTCTCTTTATGGACAGAGAAGAATGAAATAGAAATTATAATCTGCATTTGTGCTTGAATTAGTTTTGAGATGATGTAAATTAAAACTTCCCCATTAAATATTTGAAAGATATTTAACTAGAGCATTATAACAAGTGAAAAGACCTTATTCATAATAATTGACCTACTTTCTAGCAATTAACTGAACTATACTAAACAGAAGGGTATCCTGGTTAGTATAAGTATTCTAACCAATGGGAGTTACTTACAGCTCTCCTCTTAGAATTGAGATTTTATTGTAGCCTATAGTGCAGTGGTGGTGATGTATTTAATAATAGTAAGGACTAAATAAAGTGCTATTCATTCATGTATGGGTTTTATATTTGTATTTACTTTATGATTATTCCGTTTTGACATTGTGAATTAAAATGCTATATCAATTGCTGAATGTATATCCAAGCCCCATTAAAATAAAATTTAGGGTTCATGAATTGCATTCTTTTATGTTTGACTGGGCTGTCTCATATAGTTGGCTCTAAACCAATGTGACATGACAGCACAAGACATGAAGAGCCAGATGATTTCCTGGTAAGGGAAAAGAAGCTAGAGACAGAGGATTATATGAATCAGAAAAAACAAACAAACAAACAAAACTCCACAAATGCCTCTCATTTTTATCATTAAAAATATTTTACCTCAATTATCTGAGAGATTATAAGTTAGTTATTTTAAACCTAATTTTTATGTTTCTTTTTCCATTAACCATACTTATTTGGATAGTCATGATTTTCTTCCTTTTTAGTTTGATTGCTAACTAAATAAACTGAAATCTTCAATATATGTTTTTCTTTTGTACTAGAGTACATAAAAAAGTCACACCTCATTAGTTTTCAAAGTAAATTTTAGGGCATTCAAATTTATATTACACACTTTTCAGAAATGTAACTATTATGTAATAAAGGGTGAAATGCACTGATTTAAATGTTAAGATCGATCCCATGGTGTTCAAACAACCATTACTGCCTCTTAAAGATATTAGTGTAATTTTAGTAATAATGAAATCAAATTAGACAAACATGTTATTTCATGCTTGTTTTTGTCTAGCTATAAACAAAAACCTTTAAACAAACCTTTAAAGGATGACACTCTTGATACCTAAATCTAATATCCTATTCTAATTACAGAAGCAACAGATATATTAAAACACAGAATTCTTTTGAATTATTTAAGGTTACATACATTTTTCTCAAAATATCCAATTCAACCAAACTATAATTCTTTTGAGTAGAAACAGCAGAATAAATTTTATACTGCTTTTGAGAAAAATCTACTTGTTTTAGTCTGTTGTAACTACTTGCTAACCAGAAGTCTATTAAAAATCACAGGGCTTTTTGCAGGTTTTTGATAGGTGTGAAATAATTACTTCACAAAAATTGGTTAACCACCTCTACTTCACCTGTAAACATCTGAGATGTGTGCTACAATGAATGTTTCACATAGGAACCTGTCTTAAGTGTGAAGAGAGCTGTTGGTTCCTTGCTGCAGTTCTGGGCATTTAGTATGCTTTTCAAAGAGTTATTCACATTACGTAGCAGTGAGTGTTTATACACGTGCTAATTCATACACAGTCATGATATGAGTAATACAGCTTAAAAATAGCTTTATTATTGGCATGATGGTAAATCAGTAACTGACTTGGAGAAAAGAAAAGCAAATACCCAAGCCACTGTCTGGATACTGGCCTATCAAATACATTTAATTATTCAAAATAGCTAATCAAGTAAAATAAAAGAGACACAATTATAATAGAGGTGTTAAAGCAGTGTCTGATATACATTGTCCAATTCAATTTAATGAAGACCGCTTATAAATTAGGTTAAACTAAAAACTAGGTCATCAAGTTTAACATGATGTCTTTTACTTTTGCTATAAATGTTACCTGAATTGACAACTACAGATACAAAAATCTAAAATTATTACTAAGTATAAGCTCTCCCTCTTGTGGATAACAAAGTAATGGCAGTTACTTTATATTTCACAATTAATATTAAAGTGCTATGGTCTTCAAAGTATGTTAAAAATTTATTTTTAATTCTATTTAAATAAAATATTTAAACCACTACTTGAGATTGGAAAAGGCACGCTGTCACCCACAAATCTTTAGCAGAGTTCCAGCTAACTTTACTTACTAGGTATATTTGAGATTGTATAAACTGCACCCTGCTCCCTCCCAACTGGAAGTGTGAACTTAATAATTAAGTTTTGCTTTAAATGCCATTGAAGCAAAATCCTAGTTATATGGTTGTCTGTAAAGAACTTATAAAATTACTTGAACATGGATGCAACAGTTAAAGCACCCCAAATGAGAAAAACAAAAAAGGAACGTTGTTTAAGCATTTATTACGTGCTAGGCACCTCACCCCCATTCTCACACCAGCTTGGCAAACTGGGTAACCTAATTTTGTATGAGGAAACAAGTTCAAGAGAACTTACTTCACTTTAACATGTTGTTCACAGCCATCTTTTTGTGATCCAGTCTAACAATGGACTGTGTTTTGGGGGTAACATTTTTCATATCACATCATCACCATCATCATCATGCATTTACTGAATGATAAAATTACTTGAACATTGAGATGCAACACTTAATACACTGTCAACACAACCTTTTTAGCCCCAGTATAAAATTTCATACTTAAATGTAATGAAACCTGTTTATCCACATCTCAAGAAGGGGGTACATGTCCTACTTGTAAAGTAAAATTGTATAAAAGCCCCATTTTCTTAATTGACTATACATTCCGGTCATACTGAAATTAATATTCTTTGTATATGAAAAATGTACTTAACTGAGTTTTTACTTCAGCCATACATACTTTTCTTTAGCTTTTGAAAATTTACTGAACTATTACACCCCAGAGGAACTAAAATGAAATTATGGTATACTATCAGCCAAGAGCTAGAAACTTAGAAATGTATATCTTGACAACTGTGATTCCCCCAAACAAGTGTCTTTTATACATTTTTCATTGTAAGGCACAGCAAGCAATCATTTTATACTGCAACCCAATAAAAACAAGCTATGAGAAACCATACTCACCCCTTACTATGTATATTACACTCTGGTATGTTCTACAGGCATACCTCGTTTTATTGCGCTTTGCTTTATTTTGTTTTGCAGATACTGGTTTCTTACAAATTGAAGATAAGACCCTCCCTCGACCAGCAAAAAGATTATGACTTGCCGAAGGCTTTTTTTCGCAATAAAGTTTTAAAATTAAGGTATGTACCTTGTTTTGTTAGACATATGCAATCACATATTTAACAGACTACAGTATAGTGTAAACATAATTTTTATATGCAGAGAAACCCCCCCAAAAAATTGTATCACTTTATTGTGATATTTACTTTATTATGGTGGTCTGGAACTGAACCCGCAGTATCTCCAAGGTATGCCTGTATTCCACTTTATTCCTTATTTTTAAAATGCTTCTCTTGCATTTTAACTTACAAAATTTCATGATCATTAGGAGAACACAGTACAGTTTAAACAACACTAACCTAATCCATATTTTCTAAAGCACAGAATTTCATGATCATTAGGAGAACACAGTACAGTTTAAACAATACTAACCTAATCCATATTTTCTAAAGCAGATTTACATTTTGGGAAGTTCACAATATCAGTTTACCCTATACCTAGATCTAGTTTAAGTACAGAGGGCAACAATCTAAAGCCAACACCAAAACAGTCCGTTGGCAGGACATTGGCCAAATTTCTCATAGCAGGGCTGCTACTGTTAAATGATGCTGTATACAGTGAGTAACATACAAAAGGCCTCCGGTAATTAAAAAGGTTCATTCACTCTGTGTTAGGAAACAATACAGTACCTCATTTGCCTGGCAGTATAATGGGGAAAAAAAAAAGGAGTGTTCCAAAACAGGAAGTTTTCCAAATAACTGAAAAATAATCTTTACAAAAAACCTAAACTTTTAGTTAATAGTTTTATGGAAACATTCCTATGTTTCCCTTAATATAGTAAACTTAATTTATCATCTGAATGGTTCCAACTTAAAAGTGGAAAGATTAATAAAACACAGGACTATAAACTAGAAATAGATGTAAATGATAAGGTGAAGGAAAAACAAGATAATACGTAGCTAGGAATGAGGCTAAAATAAAAATGCATAATATAAAGTTTACCAAGGGTAAGCCACAAATTTGGTTATTAGTTTTCTAGTTGCTAACCAGAAGAGGGAAATCTAATCAGTTTTGCAATCCATATTACTTACATAAGATAAATGCAAAACAATCTGCAAAAAACCACACGTGTACTTGAGTACTAGGGAGCCAGATAATTGAGAAATAATTTACATGGGCATTGTACTAAGCACATTTTTTAAAAAGGGAGGGGGAGGGGGACTTCCTTGCTGTCAATTTTGAAGAAAATTGAAGTCATAATTAAAGTACTGTTCTTAGAATGGCAGAGTTGAGTAGTTGCAACAGACTGTGTACAGGCCCACAAAGCCTGAAATATTTACTCCAGGCCCTTTATAGAAAACGTCTGCCTATCTCCAGATCTACAAGAGTGGATGCATGGTGTTTCCTCAAATGGATTATTTCTCTCAATTAGGTTTTCATAGGAAAAGGTCTGAATTCACATTATTTAGGTCAGTAAATTTTGGAAGTCAAATGATTAAACAATGAAGTCAAATCGGTATTTTTCATTGAATTGAGTATCTACTACTCCAGTTCAAGCCTATTGTTAAACAAGTTAAATGTTTTTACATATTGTGATCAGAGATTACATGCGGTACCCAAATTGTATCCATTTGTTTTAAAGATTAAATCATAATGGAAATCTAGGTCCCTCTCCAAAGTGGCCTAAGAAAGAATGTATTACTTTTGAAGGTTGAAGAAGAATGTTCATACCTTGAAATGCTTAGTCTTTGGAGATCTCTGCTCTGCAGATTGTCTTCCTGAGATGGATCCTGTCATTTGTTTAAAAAAAACAGTATAAAAGTTGTAATAATTACATTCTATTTATTCTGAGTACTTTGTATTATATTACTAGAGACATGTTTCAGATGTATAGACTACATCTATAATTGTACAGGGTAAAACGATTTTATATTCAATTTTAATGAATTACCTCCAAAACGATACAGGATATTTCTAAATCACTTCCAATTGTTTAAAATGATTAATGCTTTAATTAAAAAAAATAATAAAAGTGCTCTCATGTCAAAGAACTTAGAATCGTACAAAATTATTTCTGAAGACATCAATCTGAAGTCTATTTAAAACAGGGTAACAGATAATAAATTAATATTTATTCAAGGTACAGCTGAATGAATTCTATGAGAAATGGAAGTTTTATTGTTATGTCATTTTTTTGGGTATTATTACAAAAAGTTCCCAATTTAACAGGTTGCTGTTTTAAAAGATCAACATAAATTTTCTCCTTCCACATAGAAAAGGAAATGATTTGGCAAGGGCTTCATAAAGTCCTTATATACTTTTAAGTTTTATTAGTATAGGTTATAGATATGACAAGAACAACCTATGAAACATATTAAAAAGTAGACTTAATATGTTTAAGATAACTCTGTAACACACTTGTTTACAACGCATTCTCATTTAACAGTCTATAACAAAAATGACTATCATGGGCACTAACTCAATTGGCAGAAGTGGCCAGTGTAAACTGAGAGAACGGAATTTAATTTTGCTATTATGTATATAACTAAGTATGTTTTAAAGTGGAATATTAAAAAGCTGCATAAGGACTTCAGTACTCTGAACTTGTGAGAATAAAATATTAAAATATTTTCTATTATAGTAGTTAAAAAACTTTTAGATCTGATTGTTCAGAAAATACCAACTAAATACTACAATTAAGATGCATGTTAGGGAGCCCTACAGAGAGGGGAAAGAGGACTGGCCCACTAGTCAAGGCAGGGCAACCAACAAAGCACATGACCTTGGACATTATTTTTTACTGTTCTTAATAGGAAATGAAGGAATCAGATCAAGGCCACTTTTAGTTTCTTTATATCACTGACTAAAAATATACATTTAAATTAGTGGATACTGAAACATATATTCCAATGGAAACCTTTCTCATTCTTAAAGTTAATGATTTTTGTAAAAAATTTGAATTTGGGTTGGGAAAGAATTTTTCCAGTTACCACCTAACAATTGAGAAAAACCTAATGTAAACTAGCTTTAGGCACAAAGAAATTGTTTCTAATATTCAAAGACCCAGTTCCTGGCCTGTCATCAGTTTGCTATGTTCTAAACTCAGTAACAGATCTGATTCCTAACAGGTTCCGTATGATATGGGAGTTTCACATAAACAGGCCCAGTGCTACAAAATCTTAGGAAACAATGCTCAAGTTAAATAGGTTCCTATACTCTAGGTCTCCTCAAAACCTTCAATCCATTACCGCACTGGGCTATTATTAGTTACCTTAGACATCTACACCAACTCCATTTTACTGATCCAGTGGTTCCTATACTTTTTTTGATGGTAGTGTCTGTTTTTCTCAAAAGATCAACTATTCTGGATATAAAGGGCTGAAATATTGGGAGATACAGAAAGTCTAAAAGGCCTATAGTGGAACTGACCCTGGAACCTTGACATCATTAATACCAAACACTAATCAACTGAATTCAATAAGTACTTAAAAAAACTAAACCAAAAAACACTATTATGTCCAAGTAGGATGCTATTTCACACTTCAGAAAGTGTTATATGGTTCACAGAAAGTACCATCTTAAAAAAATTTGTAAATCTGCTACAGCAGATATAAGCAAGATTATTAATGTGAACATAATTTCTTTCCTTGGCTTGCTTTTTGATTCCCCAGCTGACACTGAGCAGCAACACATTTGAAACAAGATTTAAAAGCACACATCCCACAACATCAAGATTTCATCTTGGAACCCTTGATGAATTAAGCATTTCCACTCTTCCTTTTCCTGGTTCATTTCCTTGTTGTGAGCATTTTTTTAAGTCTCCCCCACCCCCCAAAATAAATTCCTATGAAGGTGGGAGTGATGTAGTAAATCTTATCATTTTTTTTTAATATTCCCCCCATTTCACTTTCAACTCTTAGTTTAGTTACGTAGTCTCTTGGATTCAATTTCATCAGCACTAAAAGTGATTTTGTAAGGTTTCTTCTACCTTCAAAAGTTTCTGTGATTTATGATAGATGAATTAAACTAAAAGCAAATTTATCCCCTAGCACCATCTAGTGGAAAAGAGTAACTAATAAGAAATGAACTGTCTCACACACACACTCCCCAAAAGCACTGCTTTACTGAATTACCCTAATTATGGTTTTTTTTGAGAAAACATTCATGTACTGAATACCCTAGACACTATGCTAACTGCTTTATGTTTTATCTAATTTAACCTTCATGAAAACAGGTATTTAATGTCTACTTTATAGAAAACAAGTTCAGAATAGTTAAATGACTTTCCTAATGTTATATAGTTAAATAAGGAATACCACAATTATAAGCCAAGTTTTTATAATTTCATGGTACTGTTTCCTACTCTATAAGGAAGTATCCATTATAAAACCTGTCAAATTATTTCCTTTCAAGTAGAATATATACAGAGGGTGCCAAAAAAATGTATTCACTTTTTAAGGAAAAACTATTAAAATTGTAATATATGGAGTATATTAATGGAGTATATGTATTAATATATATGGAGTATATATTATCACTAACAAAAGATGAATACAAGTCATGTGTATACATATTTTTTTTTGGCACCCCCGGTATATACTAACAGTTATAATTCAGAGCTTCAAGGTGCAGATCTTTACTTACAAGCACATCTTTTTTAAAAAAGCCTCTCAAGGAGTGTTGGCAACTGGGCTTGTGAGAAAGGATGCTGGAAGCCTTTGAAGGAATTGTGGTACTTGTTCACAGGTTCAAAGATGGGGAAAATCAACTTCACATGTCAAGTAGGAAAAAAAAACATTTTGGCTCTAACAGGAGTTGATGTTAATTTCTGTAATAAGTGTTTTCCTTTTGGAGCCTGGGGGCTCCAAACAAGTTCTTATTGCCTAGTTCAAAGGAATTCATTTGGTAAAGGCCAAGGCAAAATGCTGTATTATTCTGAATGCCTGAGTCATTCTTAACCAGTGGTCACCTTCAATAAAGACTACATTATAGAAATGAGAGAACTGTCAGCTGCATGTTAGGATACTTGGGATTCAGAAGCAGAGCCCTGGCTGGCAGTCAGGAAATGTTAGTAGTAGTTCCTCTTTCAGTTAGTGACAGCCCAGAGGGATCTGGGTAGGTGACATAGTTCCTCAATAATGCTGGAATGCTCTGATGGACAAAATGGTTGAGCTGAGAAATAATTATCTAACTGGTGACTTTAGTTTAAAATACATGACTGTATGTAATGTATATAGTAGCTATTTGATTTCAGACTACTAAGCTTTTCAAGTTCTTGTAATAACTATTTTAAACTGTATTTGGTGCACTGCTATCATACACCCCTGCTTCTCTATCATTTCTTTTTTTATCCTCAGCATTATCTGACATGACATCTGAAAACACGTATCCAGGCTTGTTAGAACCCAGTGTAATGTATTAGTAAACAGACTTGGTGAGGACCTGACAGGCAACTTGTGTTTTAGTGGATGACTTTAAGCTAACCACACTTCAGCTCAGCCGTGTTTTGTTTTTGCTTCCTCCCTCTGCTCCAAATTCTTGAATTCTCAGCTCTTTACTGAAAATGAAACTTGTCCCAAAACTATGAGACTTCTGAAAATTAGTGGACGCTAAAGTCTTTTTTAAGATCTCTAAAAATCAAGTTCTCTCTTGTGGTATCCAAATTAGTCAAATTATTAAGGTAAATAAAATGGGAAACTTAAAACCTGAGTTCTCTTTACAGAGGAAAAAAAATGATCTGAGGAAATTGAAAGAAAGGGAGTTTGAAAACACAGCTTTAATAAATTAATAAATAATAAGCTTTTCAAAAATTAGCTTTTTTTAAACAAAATTATGTAATTCTGGGACTATGCTAAACATATATCAAATTTTAGCAAAATGGGGAAGATAAAGTGAATTTTTCAGAGACTGTAACTCTGAGTAGTTATAATTTATGTTAATTAGGATTTAATACTTTATTATAAATCATACATATGATATACACAGAATACTGAATTTCTCAATTTAATAATTCTGCAGTACCGTTTGTTTGGCTTTTTGTAGCTCGATTTTGAGATCATTACACTCTTTCCTCATTAGTTCTAGTTCTTGTTCCAAACCATGGATCTTCAGGTCACAGCTCAACTTTTCCACCTCCCAGTTTGATGAAGGTGGATTTAAATTCCTTATCACTATAAAATAGATGGACATTAAAATTGTTATTTCTGCCTTCTACATTGGCTGCAATTCCAAAGAAAGTTATACTAGTAAAATGAAGATAATAGAAAAACTAATATAAAAATGCATAATTAATAGTTTTTAAGAAGCAGTAATTACTTTCAAAGATCTATGCTAATGAGAATAAGAAATCTAGCAATCTTGTTTTAGAATGTATTAATCACCCCATTCCTGATTTTCTGTTTAGGTTGAAGTACAAATTTGTAAGTCTGGAACTTTAAAATACCTAACACTAATCAACCACATGGTAAAATTGTAAAAAGACCAATAACCTATTTATGTAAAGTCAAAGTTAAAGTGATAAAAATTAATGAAGTGAGTGAACTGAGGCTTACACAGCTAATCACTCCATCTAGTCCCTTCAAAAAGAGTATAAGATTTGACCATCAAGCCTAAAACATTACATCAAAACAATTTTATTCATGAACTTTCCAGTATACACTTAATACAACTGGATACTGACTTACCCTTGACTTAGTTCCTTAGTCTATCTACCTGAAAAAAGCCCCACCCAGCTACTCTAAGAGATCTCATCTCAATTTCCTATCAAAAGGTCTCTCAGAGGCCTACTTTTCAACTTGTCTCATCAGAATGTTCATGCCAACTCACAGTCCCCAGACCTAACTTTTCACTCCAGCAACTCCTCTGTACATTTCAATACCCTTCAGAAATCGAAAAAAAAAAAAAAGTAATTGTACTACTCTATGACAGTGTGTCTAACAGTAGGCAGTTCAATAGGAAGGTAAAGCCAGGACATACCAGTAGGCAAGAGGTTTAGACGGGGATGGGGTTCTACTCCTTTCTCCATTTACTTCATCACAAGCTAACCCTGAATAAAAACCACCAAACTTTCCTAGGAAAAGTGCAATTTTTATCTAAGGAAAAGTGAAAAGGAGTTGATACTTTGTGAAAGCGGAACAGAGAAATTAATAGAAGCCTAATAATTAAAAATATAAGGCCTTAGCATACAGATAAAGAAAACTGATCATGGATATAACACATGAATGGGAAAAATGTATTAATCCAGTTAGAATATTTATAACGAGTAAGTGGCCTACCCTGCTGAGTTTCCACTTCTGTCCTTAGCTGGAGGAGTTCTACTTCTTTAGACTGCAATTGTTCATTCAATACTTTCAAAGATTCAGAGTTATCTTTATTCTAGTTAAGTCGGAAAAATGCAAAATTAACATTCAATAAAATCTATAGGTTAGTATTATATATTATCAGGTAGATGTTAAAAAAACTGATTCTAGCCTTTTAAAAGCAAGGAGGGAAAATGAACTCAGCTTTTCACTAATCTCTTTTTTTCTTTTTCTGACTTAGACCATATTCACTGGCTTTTTTTTTTAAACACTGACAAATTCTACCATGTCATGATTTTTCAAAATGAATTAGTAGTGGTTGGATGTATTTAAGTCCTAAATATCATTATATACTAAGAGGTTAATTTGTATAGAAGTTGCAAGTATTACTATTAAAAATTTCTATTTTTGCCTTAAGCATGTATGGTTTCAATTTTTTATTTAATAAATGTAAATATTTTATTTCTAATTTTACCCTCTTGAGAAAACTTATTTGCATTATGTAACCATTTTCTTCTTATATTTTTCAATTACAGTTGACATTCAATATTAGTTTCAAGTGTACAGCACAGTGGTAAGACATTTATATAATTTACTAAGTGATTCCCTGATAAGTCTAGTACCTACCTGGCACCTTACATAGTTATTACAATATTAGTGACTATATTCACTATGCTGTGACTATTTTCTAAGTGCCAATTTGTATTTCTTAATCCCTTCCCCTTTTTCATCCAGCCCTCCAACCTCCCTTCAATCTGGCAACCATCAGTTTGTTCTCTGTAGATATCATTCTTTTCAAACCAACTTACCATTTTATCCAGTTTGTTCTTCAAATTATCTCTATCAATGCAAACCTCTCGATATGCATGATAGGCTTTATTTACTTGTTCTCGTCCCACAGAACTTGTTTCTTCATCTAATCGAACTCCTATAAGCTAATGGTGTAAAATTAGAAGAGAAAGCTTAAGAGGGTATTCTACATAAAAAAAATAAGTCTTCTGATGGCTCCACATCTTACTTTTAATCACTGTAATGAAGGTATGAAGCCTGGACTATAATTAACTGAACATTTTACTTTCAGACAATTAAGCTTTATTAAGATAGCAAAAAAGTACAGAATAAATATTTTTAAGTCTTTTATGCTTTTAGTTATTTGTTTTACTTTGTAGTATCTGTTTTATAACATATTAATTAATCATACTGAAACTAGCACATCATTCTTTTATAGTGCTTAGGTGTTTTCCAAGTATTTAATTTCCATCATCAGAAAAAGTATCAAGTTAAGGTGTACTTGACTTTTTAAGGAATAGATTAGGTGGGTTAGTTCATTAAATCCTGTTATTATTCCATAACAGGAATTAATAGGATTGTTGGTCACAAAGTACAGAAATATTTCCAATGTTAACCATATCAAATCACATTTTTCTTTTGAACTTTAAAATACACAGAGCTTTGAGCTCAAAATGTTACCTTTTCTCACTCCATCCCTGTATGTCACAAATTTATTAATCACCATTAAATTCATATGAATACATAGAAATTATGGTTATTTTTACAACTGACTCCCCTTTTTTTATTCCTCCAAATGAATTAAACTCTACCAAGCTCCATCCTCAAGTTTTCATAACAAGATAATTCATTTCCTCAGCTGATAAGAATCCATTTCCTTCCCCCTTTATAGGTGTTGTTTGTAAAGTCTGAATATACTGATCTGTTCTGAAGAAACAAAGTTAAAACTTTAAAATTCAAAAATAAATGGATGAATGAGGAAGATTTTCCCAATACACAAAGCCAAGCAGATCTAATGATTTATAAGTAAATCAACTACCTGCTTATATAGTCTACAACATTTAAGTATGTCAGGTTTCCTCATGAAAAATGTAAATAGAAGAGATTAATTTATCAGTTAAAAAGCATTATTCTTATTATGTGTGTTCTGAAGCAAAAGAATGTTGGGGTAAAAAAGATGCAAGTCCTGGTGAAGACATTATTAAACATCTTAGAAAAATGTTCCTGGCGCTTCTTCCTTGACACTTAATTTCTTTTGCTGGCTACAATTTTTGCACAGATTTTAAAATCATGAAAATACATACAGCTATGAAGGTAAGGCAATCTGAAAAAAGGAGGTAAGAAAAATATTTGGCATATATTCTTCAAAGTTGCTAACTCCTATTCTGAAAATATTCACCCAGCACGTGACATGTAAAACACAGTAAGATAGGTACAATGCCCAGGGTTTTGAGATTAGCAGTGAGTTATTCCTGGAAATTTACTACAACCATGGAAGATAGGACAGAAAAATATTTAAAATTTCAAATATTTTTAATTATTTAAGTCATAAAACAAAATGTAATAATTACCTTTTCTTCCAAAAATCTTACTCTTTTCTTTAAGAATGAGTTCTCTTTCTCTGAATCCTTAAGTCGTTTTTTGATGTCTTCATATGCAGTGACCAGGGCAAAATGAGAAGCAACAGACTCATCTCCTGAATATATTGAGTTTGGAGTCACTGTATCTCTCCTGTGGGATTTTTCATGATTAAGAATGCAGATATCATCTTCTACCAGTGTATCCATGACAGCTGTTTAAAAGGATAAAAATATAAAATACAAATGTCTCATTGAATAAATGAAGGGAAGAAATATATTTAGAATAATGTGAATATTGAGGCAATGTTTAAAAACTCCTATTTATTTTAGAGGAAGTGTACTATATGGTTAGGAGCATAGACTCTGGAACTATGTCTGTATGACTTTGGGCAAGTTGCTTAATCTCTTTGCCTTGGTTTCCTTATTCATAAAATATAAGAAATAATAACTGTGTCACAGAGTTCTTAAGGTTAAATGAGTTGATATCTATAAAGCATTTAAAACCATAATCCAAGCTATTAGTAAGTTTTATAAAAAGTTGTGAAACACCATTTTCAATCAAAGGATAAAAAATTTTAAACTCTTTATACCCATACATTTCTTTTTCATCAACATTTCCACTCTTAGATATAAGTAGCAAGTTTTATAGCTTCCCAATTATAAACTTTCAAAACTCGAGTATTTCATTACAACATGTTATTGTATAAATCATAACATATTATAATGTTTTAATGCATACTCCACTATATTCTTTCCACATCAGTAAGTGATTATATTTGTTGTACATTAGCAGTGGAAGACAAAGGAATTAACAATCAGTGTCCACTATGTCCCAGTACCATGCACTACGTATTTTTAAAAAATATTATCTCATTTAAAGTGGTCCACACAATGAAGTAGGCATCATCTATATTTGATTGGGATTGAAAGGGTAAGTAACTTGCTCAAGTTAAAGCTAGTAGAATGCTAGCTCTGTGAGGGCAGAAGTTATATCTGTTTTGCTCATCACTGTGTGGAAGATGCTCAATAAACACTGGTTATTGAATGAAGAGTGGATAGAGTAGGATTCAAATCAAACTCTGAGTCCAAAACCTAAAAGAAGCCAGTTACTACATTAGTTAGTGAAAAATATACTTGCTCTGTACATCTACTTGTGTTGTTAGGTTCAGCATTACTTCCCCATCTAAGAGTTATGTTCCTGAAAAACACTATGGAAGGAGAAAATAGGGGCTGAAACTTTTTAACACCTCATGGGAAAGACGGGTACCCCAAGAGGGAGTGCTGGCCATAAGACAACCTAAAAAAGTCCTTTAAAATATTTTTTAGCTTAAAGTAAAACACCAAATATAGTATTCTAAATTAAGACTATCAATGGAATTTCATGTAGCTTAGATTAGTAATTAATAGTTCCTGAAAATTGTGCTTATTTACCATCCCTTGCTTGAAATAACATTTGATTGCTTACTAGTGTCAGTCACTGTTCTAAGAGTATTCAGGATGAGAAACTGAGGTAGAAGGAATTTAAGTCATTTTCCATAATAACACAGTAAATGCAGAGTTGACAGGTAAATACAGGTGATTAAATTACAGAATCCATGTTTCACTATGCCTGCTTTTCTCGAAAATTTCTGGTCTTCCACCCTGTATCAATCAATGCCTGTAAAGTTTATTTTGTTTTATTTCAGACAACATGAATACTAAGGGAAGGTGGTGTTTGTGTTTTTCTGAGTCTGGTCTTCAATCACTGTATTTTTTGCTTTTCTGATTTTATAACTGAAAACTTCTCATTGTTTCAACTCAAGTCAAACTTGGAGTATCTAGAGATTTGTTTATATTTGGGTTTATGGGACAGGCAGGCAAAAATAAATGTGTATACTACAAGTCTGAGTAGGTGAAACCTGCCATTCAGTCAATTTTCACCAACACCAATTAAAAAATTTCTAACCATATAGGACAACTACTCTTAAGAAACTTTCCCAATTTACCAATAAAATCCAAAAACAAGAAAGGACTAGGCTACCTACAATATCCCCTCAAAGTGGCAGATCCTCATAACCATAATTAATTCCTGCTGCTTCTGGTCCAAGTTGCTCTTTATTCTAAATGATAGAAAAAGGGGTTAACTTTTTTCCTATAAAAGGATTTCCTTTTTCCTCTCTGGACTCAACGTTAGTCCAGAATAACAGCAAACATCATTCTGATCATATTTCTGCTGGTTGAAATCCTCATATTTCCTTTCCAAAAGGGAAGTATGGGTTATTCCCATATTGCAAATTGCAAGTATGTATACGAGGTGTGACAATTATGTTCTCAAACTTGTTGCAACGATGTGGCTAACTTTTTTATTTTATATCAGAGGGATTATTCATTATGAATCTGTACCAACAGCAGAAGCAGTTAACCAAGTTTACTATTTGAAGTGCTGAAAAGGCTGTGTGAAAAAGTTAGATGACCTGAACTTTTTGCCTACAATTCATGGATGGCTCTTGCATCATGACAATGCACCAGTTCACATGCACTGTCTGTGAGGGAGTGTTTTTTTTTTTTTTTTTTAGCCAGTAAACAAATAACTGTATTGGGACACCCTCCCTACTCACCTGATCTGGCCCCCAATGACTTCTTTCTTTACCCAAAGATAAAGGAAATATTGAAAGTAGGACACTTTTATGACATTCAGGATGTCAAGGGTAATACAACTACAGCTCTGATGGCCATTCCAGAAAAAGAGTTCCAAAATTACTTTGAAGGGTGGACTAGGTGCTGGCGTTGGTGCATAGCTTCCCAAGGGGATTACTTCGAAGGTGACCGTAGTGACATTCAGCAATGAAGTAGGTAGCACTTTTTCTAGGGTGAGTTCCCGAACTTAATCGTCTGACCTGGTTTGTATACCCATATAAGACTCACATACATAATATCTTAAAGGCAGAACAAATAAAGAGTAGATAGCTAGCTGAGTGGTAGGATGCAGTCTACTTTAAGAAGAGGTAAAATTGTGCCTGTCTTCTACATCTGATTTATAATATCTTAATATCCAACTAAATGGGCAGGATTTATTCAAGTGGAATAACTTTTTTCCCCTAAAGATAGCTGAAAAAGAATAAGCGTAAACTGTTCTACACAGTCAAAACAGATGTCCCACAGTTTGTGTACTTCAAGGTAAGTAATATATTTGAAATAATGCAGAATGCTTATCAGGATTAAGACATGGAGAGGAAGAGTGGTTTTTCAAGGCCCCACAAAAGACCAAATGACTCTTAACCCTGTACTCTATAGGCGAAGAGTTATTTTCATTGTACTTATTGTACTTAAACCTTAAGTTTGCTAACTTTCAGCAGGGGAAACAAGTTCAAAGGCCTGAAAGACTGGGAACGAAGATGAGAAAGGGAATGGCAAGAGAGAAAATTGGAAAAACAGAATGGAGACCAAGTGAGATGGTCCTTCATGATAGGGAGACAACTACAGAATTCAGTCCTGCTATGGAATTTTAGACAGACCTGGACATGATTCCAAAAAGGTGAAGAATACTTCCACAACATTTGTAAAATATATTCACAACCAAATGAATTACTTTGTATTGTGCTAAGTGTTTTATAAATATTATCCCATTGAATTGTCTTGACTACCCTATGAAGTAGAAAAATCTTACTATACCCATTTCACAGATGAGAAAATTGGGACCTGGAAAGGTTATGAAACTTAGCCAAGACCAGATAATTAGTAAGTACAGGCACTTGGATTTCAGAACCTATTAGTACTGTTCCCCTCCCCAATAAATCTTTTACACACTTAAATTTATCAAGAACCACAAAACTAGGAACCCCACGTTAGGTTTTTTAGTACCTTAGATGGAAGGGGGTATACTGATATAACAATGTCACATTTTAAACAGTGTAATAACTCCTCATTTTTAGGACAAAATGAGTAGTCAGGCTGGCTTACATATTTACATCTGTTGCCTATTTATAAATCACCATAAAGTTGCATATGATGGTTTCTCTCTAAGTATAAAAAAAACATTATTTGCAAAAAAAACCTTTTTCAAGTTTTATATACTGTTATCCCATATATACTCGTACATATTTTATATACTATAAACATGACTTGGAATGCACTGGACAGCAGCATGAAAATTGCTTATCTGTCCTAAACATTAAAGGATATGAATCAACAGCCAGATGAAGAGATACATAAGCGAGGCCCCGAAAAAAGCAGCTTCTGTCCTCCTGAAGTTTGGGGCCAGCACAGTGGCACAGGGAAGTGTCTGGTTCACCAACCTGGAAGCTCTCCGAACCTTCTACTGTTTGGGTTTTTATGGAGGCTTCATTACATATGCATAAGTGATTAAATCATTGGCAACTGATTCAACCCTCTGCCACTCTCCACTACCCTCAGGTCTATGGGACTGAAAGTTCCAACCCTTTAATCACATAGTTGGTTCCCCTGCAATCAGCCACCATTCTTAGGTGCTGTCCACAAGTCATCTCATTAACATAAACCAAGTCCTGGTGGAAAGGGGCCTGTTATAAATAACAAGTATCTTCTGACATCAGACTGGTCTTTTTTCTAGGAAACAATATTATCTTGTTATATTTCATCATCCTAATATCTACCATTTATTGATCACTTACCATACGCCAGGCACTAGTGCTTCCACATGTATTTTTCTACTTCTTAGGTAGGTACTATTATCCTAATTTATAAACAAAGTCTTAGAAAATTGAATACCTCACTTATAGTTACATAAGAAATCAGTGGCAAAGCTGGGATGTGAACCCAGATAAGCTGTCTTCCAAATGTGTGCTCTTAATATAACATTTCTGAGCGGCAACATAACATGCATTCTATTTCTCTCTAAAGGAATGTGGACAAGGCAGAGCTCGGTGGTAGAAAGAACCCTGGCCCAAGATTCAGAAACTCTGATTCTAGTACATAATCTGACACCTTGATTGATTAGTTTACCTCTCCAGATCTAAATTTTCCCACCAATAAAATGACAGGGCTGAACGACATCACTAAGATGCCACCTTCCTGAATTATGAAGACAAAATCTTAATCTTACCATGGAATGGCAACCTAAAGAGGTAAAAGAGAATTCCCATTTTTGCCAGGAACTGAGTAAAAGGTATATAGTGCTTCAAGTGCCCACCAAACTTGGCTACAAAGGTATTATCACCACTACAGGTGAGAAAACAGGCTGAAAGAGGTGAGGTAAATTTGCCTATAATCACACTGGCTATGGGACAGAGGTAGGGTTTAAATCAAGGCCTATTTGGTACACTCCTTCCTCTATTCTACATTGCCTCAAACTGATTCTTAGAATTTCTGTCATCTTGCTACCTCTGAAAAGCTAGAATATCCCTGTACCCATTTCATGCTATGATACTATGGATCAGCCAAGACACTATGGAGCAAGAATTAAGTTTTATGGAGGCCAACAGATCAACAGTTATGCCTCTTTTTCTATTTTTAATGAACTAATTATGGCCTAGCTAGTTTATAAAGAAGGGATCATCAAGTGCCTTTTTCCAAGATACTCTTACTCAATCTACGTACCTCAACACTCAAATGCCCTATAATTCAGTGAGTGCCCAAAAAAGGTACTTAGCACCAAATACACAGTATGAAAAAAATTCATTTTCATGTGTGTGACCCTCACTGAGTTATCTTACTAACTGCATTAGTCCAGAAATCAGTTTGTATGGCCAGGGAATCATAAGACTTTCAGGGTTACTATAGTTTGAAGAGCAGTTTACTACTTTTCGTTCCTTTCATAAAGTAATACATCTCAATGCAGCTGAGCACTTACATACACTTAATTTACTAGTATTAGCAATAATTGTCTAATAGTGATAAAACAATATATTAACCCAGATTAATACAAGAAAGAAAAAAAGGTTACACTGACTTGTTATTTCATGGATTATAAAAAAGTTTATAACCTTTTAATCATGTCAACGTTCTGTGTTTGTAATTAATATTTACCGAGTGTTTATGGTATGTTAGGCAGTATGCTTTGCCTTTTAGGGGAACTGTTTCATTTGTTCTTTATGTATCGCAGGTGGAACAACTAAGACAAACACTGGGAAGCAGGGGATTTTGACTCGAGCCAGCAAAACCTAGGAACTATGCTTTGGTACCTTGGAGAGAGAGCCCTACTACCATTTTGGAGATGGGGAAAATTAAGAGATTTCATCTCTTACTTAGTGTCAAACGAATAAGTAGAAAAATCAGCACCCAGACCCTGAGTTAATAATGTTCTGACTTAAGCCAGTGCATTTCCCATTACATTATTAATGTCGTGTTTTTAATATTAAAACCTTACCTTTATATACAACGTCCCATTTTAAAAACAGTATCACGTTAAAATTTTGTAATGACCCTGTCAAGGATGCACAATTACTAATTTACAAATGATGCAGTGAGCGATCACAACAGGTTGGGAAATTAGATATGGCCTGTTTAGAGAACTGGAATTTAAATTATGCCAAGAGGTCTTGCTCAATCCAATTTAAAATTACAACAATAAAAAAGAAAGCCTCTTCCATGTTTAACAGGCACGGGTCATTTTCAGTCCTAGTACGTGGCTGTCTTATCATCTTAGCTTCTCATTTCCAACAACACATCCTGGAGCAATTTATGTTTTCACTTGTGTTAGTTTTCGCTGAATATTTTTTCTCGTTTTCGAGTATTTGTGCTCCTTCCTTGTTTGTAAGAACGGGGTCAGCCTACCTGACATGTAATAGTCACTCAACAAAAAGATCGAAAACCGTACTGAATACACAGGTTTGACAGTGGGGACACTACTGTCAGCCCTCGATCACGCACGAGGAATGTGTCCCCCCTGCTCGGAGGCCCCAGGCAGTCCTGTCCCAGCCACACGTCCCTCTTTCGTTTCAGATAGACATGTAGTCTCAATGAATGACAGAAAACAAAGGTGCCCCAGTAAATCACAGTACGGAAAAATAATGAGACGCGAAGGACCAAGGATGACCTGGAACAGCCAAGAGTGCAAGAGAGAGGGCTAAGGCACGCCCGGAGCGGGCCGCTCCCAAGTCAGAGGGGACCCGGGCTTGGGAGACAAAATCATGTGTCTCTTCTGAACAGCAACGGCAGCAGCGGTTGGTCCTGGCACCGCCCGCGCCCCTAACCCGGCCAAAACGAGTCACTCACCCCGAAGACAGGCTACGTAGGGCCGCTGAGTTTCGATTCCCGTGTTTGGAAACGGACCGAAAACAAACCGGGTCGCTAGGGGTCACGACGGGCTTCCGGTTTCCTCGAAGACACCACCGCTTCCCCAGCTAAGGCAGCCGCTCCGAGTACACCGCGGAGAGATTCCCATTTCTTTGGCCTCGGCTACGCCAATATCGGCGCAGCCCCGCGGCTTGGCTGGGACCCCGGCGGCTCTGGAAGGCGTGGCAAGCCGAGATGCGAGGGCCGAGTAGGGCCGGGAGAAGGCCCGTTACCCAGCAACACGCGCGCGAGACCCAGGCCCGCCGGCGCCGGTCTCCTCTGCGCCCGCTCGGGCCCGCGGCCGCGTCGCGTACCGCGAAGGGGAAATGCTGCCGAGGGGGGCTGGAAGGGAGGACGAGCAGTACACAGCCGGAAAGGGGCTGCCGTTGTCCGCAGGCTCGGCGACAGGGACGCGCACGCAAACCGGAAGTCAGGCCCGAGGGAGCTGGGAGGGAGCCGAGGATTTGAGGAGGAGGGGTAGAAGGTGGGCGCGGCGTACTACGTGTCCCATGAGTCTCCGCGGCGGGACGGGGCGGGGCCGCGGCGACGCGGAGAGGCGGAGGCGGGACGGGAGTTGGGTAAGAGCGTTGTCAGTCGCCGCGACGTTTGGTTTCCCGGTCTCTCCCCGCTGTTATCTAGTGCGTCATTTTTACTCAGCGTTTGTTTGAGGGTCCCCGAGCGTGTGTGGTGCGTGTTTGCCCCACTTGGTAGCGCCCTTACGGGTTTACAGCGCTGTCGCCTCACTGTGGCTAGGAACTGGGCAACCTGTAACGATGCGCGCGTGCGAGGGCGGTGCGTGGTGGGGAGCCGTTTAAACTTTGTTTTCTGGGCGCTTTTTCGAACTGAGGAGATCATTTGAAACAAAGTCGGCGCATTGCTCACGGTCCTATAGTTATTCAGCACACTGCTCTTCTCAAAAATGTGAAATTTATTGAATTTACAGCAGAGCCTCGGGATTTGGGTATTGTATCCGGCTGCCCTAGAATTGCTACCACTCTTTGTTTTTTCCCTAGATGACATTCTTGAGCTGGGGAGTTAACGGGTGGCTGAATTCCTTACCATCTTTGGGGGTCGCAGCCAGATGGAATCCCTCAAGCTCTAGAGCTACTTCTAGTTAAACGAATGAACCAGAAAACGTAATTGTAGGCAATTAATCCTCATTAACTGTCAATTGACAATGACCCTCCTCTCCAGCCGCTTAAGTAGTGTTGTATCAACTGAGGGCTTAAATATTAAGTTGGTGTTTTGTTGGAGGATGTTTTTGTATCGCGTTTTAATTCATCAGCCGAACTGACAGCTCATAAAAGGATGGATTCAACTCTAGGATTTATTTTAAATTGTTTTTTTATTGTTGTTAAACCTCTCTTTTTGGTTTACATATAACTGAAAATTCACAGCTGTTGTGAACAAAGACCACAACTTGATATTTTAGGAAGTATTTAAAAATCTGTATTAATGTAATCCTTTAGAAAGATCCTTTCACTTCATCTTATCGGGCTGGGGCATGGAAGAGAGCGGTGTTTCGAACATTTGGATAAGAATCATTGTTTGCCTCAGCAATACGCTTTACAAATTTGAAAGTAAACGTGGTTGATTCCTCCTAGATAATTCCTGAAGTTTGACCATAGCCGTTTAAGGAAGCGGGGAATTAAAAGCAAACCACCAAGCGGTGTGTTTTGGCTACTTGAGTTTTGAAGAATGTCAAAATCAGTTGAGGCACCCAAAATCATCAGAAATAAAATAATTTCTAATTTGTAGATATAGAAATGTTTTCTATTTTTGAACCTTCATTAACAATTTAGAATAATTTGAGACTTGTTAAAAAAGAAGAGAAATTCATTTTTAGCTTTTGTGTCTGCATAAATAAGGAGAAAATGACCCAACTCAGTATTTTGAAGTTTATTTGTTGAGTCTATTTTTGTTTTAAAATACACTATGTAATTATGCAAAATTGGTTTTTATTAACAAAATTGTTTGCTTGTCCAGAATACATAAGCCTATCAATTTCATCAAGTAAAACATCTTAAATTTTTTGGGGGGAGGCGGTAGTGGTACCCCTGCTTGGTTATGACAAAATATAATCCAGATATTTATTACGTTAAGCTGCAAGTGGTCACTTTCTATCCTCTTATGTGCATCTACTTTAATTAATTTTAGTAAATTATTAAAAAACACTTGTCACACAGTTTCGTTGTAAGCATATGTTAAAGTTTTACTGCAAAGGAAAAGGCCTCTGATAAGTCAATTAGAAGATACAGTCTTGGTAGGGACATATGGGAAAAGAAAATGATTAGATAATCATCATTAACCTAGAAAAAAGAAATTAAAGAATTTCAGGGTCACTAAGACTCTGAATAATATAGTCAGTTGCTTAGGTGAGTGAATGGTTTCCCAGAGCAAGTGTTAATTCCATTAAAGTTTATTGGAATATTGCTTAGGCATTTTTTTTCAGGAAATGAAAAAGAGGAAGTTGTGAATTACAATCATCCAAAAAATTTTGTCCCAGGCCAAGTTTGGGACAATTTTTTTAAACCATTATTACATTTGTATAATTACAGTCACAGTCTGAAATTTTCTAAACAATTCACCACTTTAAAAATATATATATACTTGTTACAGAATGGCCATTTGGATTGAATAATACACTCATGATACAAGGCACTGTTTTAGGTGTCCTGTTTACAGGTTGTAAATAAAAAATAAAGAGATAGCTATTACAAGAGATTCTCCGGTTCTGGTTCCCACCTCCGTCCATCCTCTCACCAAGGTCCTGATGTTTTCCATCAGGAACAGGGCTCCCGAAGGCTATGATAGTGGCTTCAGCTGGGTTCCCTTTTCCCCAGGTAGGTTGGATTTCAAAGCAATATCTGAATAAAGAATATGGGCCTTGGCACAACTGCTGACAGGCTTCTCTTATTTTTAGACAATCATGCATTTTTGGAGCTGCTTCAAATCTTAGTTTTGTTTAATTAGGCAGCATGTAAAAAGATGATAAAAGTGGTTTGTTTTTTTAATGGGAGTCATGTATTTCTCAGCTGTGGTGAATATATACAGTTAGAGGAAACAGTAACAATGCACCTTTTGAGGAACTATTTTAAAGTGGATTTCTGGCTAGGGATCATGTTTTCTGTTTCTTTGTCCTGTATGCTGTGAGCACTGTCTCTGTGGTAGACCCTTGCTAGGTGTGGCTCTTCAGTGTCAGCAGAACATGCTTAACATGTCAGAATCTTGAAGGTGAAATAGCAGTATCTGTTCATATGAATATCAGCTTCAATGTTGTTTCATTAGTATTGTTTTAAAAGCGCCCTTCCTCTCTTCTCCTCTGCATATCACATGTCCAGGTTAAGATCTTTAAGATAAGGAAATAGTTTTAATAGCAAAGATAAAGAGTGGATTAAAAAAAATTCTACCAAAAATGAACAACCTGGTATCTGGGCACACATAGTCTGTCTCCCCTCTCTCCTCCCACATGTCATCATCACACCTCCCTCCCCCTCCAGAACACACATAGAACTTGTGAACTACTTCATGACTTCTGTTCATGACTTCTGTTACAGTGTGTGTATCCTGAAGCAGCAGTCTTCAGACTGGGCAACACATGTTCCTAGCCCTTAACCTTGGAAGGTACATGAAGGGTTTCCAGGGAATTATGCAAAGGATAGTTTAAGGACATTCATTCTCAGCTTGTCAACTTACATGTTTTTGCTAAAATTGATCTGCCTCAGCATGTGCCTGAGTCAGACACTTTTCTCTTCCCTCTTTGGTAATTGTTCCTTTTCCACTCTACAAATAAAGCAATACGTAATTCTTGTTTAGGAAGTGAATGATTCTGATGACTGGATGGCTAAATTTTTTGCAAGACTGGAAATTTCCAGTGGCTTTCAAATATATTGCAGAACTCTCCTCACTAATCAGCTGATCATTAAAAAATCACTTGATGATATACCCCTATGTGATTTTTGGTACATAGCTTAGTAGTTGAAAAGATTGATTATTGATATAAGCAGAAATGCTTTCTCTCCTAAATATTCGGAATGAAAAAAATATAAAATATAAGAATAGAATAAACCTGAACTCTATTTTTTTCTAACAATACTATTCATCCTGGATACATGATCTAAATGGCATTGGGGAGGTGGAGAAGGCCCTATCCATTTCTTCGTGAGATGCATTTCCAATAAAAGCTGCTTTTGGTATTTTAAAATGATCATACTTTGTAATATACTTGTTAATTGATCAGTAGGGTTCTTAATGATAACAATAAGGAAAATTTTTTAAAAGTTATGTTCTCAGGAACTTTAAAATATACTTTTTGTTGCAGGGAACTTTTTGTTGTGATAGGCTGATCAATTAAAAATATTTTCAATCTCTGAAATATGTTGGGATAAACTTATATGGGAAAGTAAGATAAAACGATGATTTCAAGGAGAAGAGGAATGTTCCCAAGTTCCTAACTAGAAAGGAGAGTCTGTTCATGTGCTTTTTAAATGGGTAGATGATAAGTGGATATCAAATTACTATGGCATTTACATTTCATTTATAAAAGAGAACTATATATACTACTGTCTGTAGCAGCTAGCCTTGTCCTGAGCATACAATCTGTGCTTCATAATAACTTTTTGACTTGAAGTGCTTTGTAGTCAGTAGGAATTAGCTTCTGACAGAGCTTTCATTAAAACAAAACAAAACAAAACAAAACAAAACAAAAAACAAAGCAAAGCAGGGTCGGCTGAGTGGCGCAATGGTTAAGAACTGGCTTGGGATGCCAGAGGGCCCCGGTTTGGATCCCACATATGAGGGCCAGTGACACTGCCCTCCACAGCTAAGATGCTGAACAACAGCTCAACCTGGAGCTGGGCTGCCGTGAGTCGCCGGCGACGGCGTAGGCTGCAGCCCCTGTGGCAGTGGGTTGCCATGGGCTACCGTATGTAGCCAGCAGCCAGCGTGAGCGGCCAGCAGCCGCAGTGAGCGGCCGTCCAGAAGCCGGCGACTGATCTGCCTCGCCCTGGAAGAGCGCAATGATGGTGCCAACTTGGGCCAGTGAAGCAACGTCCTCCACAACTAGACTGAAGAACAAAACGACAGCAACTTGTCTGTTCCCCTTCCCCCAATTCCCCAATTAAAAAATAAATAAATAAAAAAATAAAACATGAAAGTCATAATTATATGCACAGTAACTAGATGCAATGATTTTCTTTTGGAAACATGTAGGTGAAGAAAAAAATTAGCAGTCCTAGAGAGTCTTTGACCTGAAGAGTAGGGAGAAGAGCAACAGAGAATCCAGGATGGGGTTGATAGATTGTACAGAGAAAGAAGACCCAGTAGAGGAAATCGTATACTTCTTATTAAATGAAGTAAGAACAACTCTCCTTTATTATTTGGAATATGAAATAATTAATTTATTCAATATTTAACAATATTTATTTAGCATCTACCATGTGCCAGACATTGTTTTAGGCACTGCGATGAAACAGGCAAATGGCGTTTTAATGTATAAGGAAATAAAATCTATTTCAGAGAAATCAGTCACATTTCACAAAGACCTATGTGAAATTTAACAACATGATAAGAAATTCCC